AGCCATGCATGGAGGCACATGCCTGTAGTTCCAGCTACTGGAGAGGCTGAGGCAGGAGAGTCACTTGAACCTGGGAGGCAGAGGTTGCAGTGAGCTGAGATCACACCACTGTATTCTACTCTGGGCAACAAGAGCAAAACTCCATCTCAAAAAAAAAAAAAAAAGGCCGGCGCAGTGGATCACACCTGTAGTCCCAGCACCTTGGGAAGCCAAGGCAAGCAGATCACAAGGTCAGGTGATCAAGACCATCCTGGCCAACATGGTGAAACCCCTCTTTACTAAAAATACAAAAAAATTAGCTGGGCATGGTAGTGGGCGCCTGTAATCCCAGCTACTAGGGAGGCTGAGGCAGGAGAATCGCTTGAACCCAGGAGGCAGAGGTTGCAGTAAGCTGAGATCACGCCACTGCACTCCAGCCTGGTGACAGAGTGAGACTCCATCTCAAAAAAGCCAAACTAAACAAACAAACAAAAAACCTAAAATTTCAGATATGGAGATCTTAGAGGTCATGTATCCTAAGTCTTCATTGCCTCCTTGCCTGGGTATCTCCACGAAATGGTTCACTGGCTTTTAATAAAGTCCATGTTTTCAGGCCAGGCATGGTGGCTAATGCCTGTAATCCCAGCACTTTGGGAGGCCGAGGCAGGAAGATCACCTGAGGTCAGCAGTTTGAGGCTAGCCTAGCCAACATGGCAAAACTCCGTCTCTGCTAAAAATATACAGATTAGCCGGGCCTGGTGGTGCACACCTGTAGTCAGAGGCTGAGGCAGGAGAATCGCTAGAAGCAGAGGCAGAGGTTGTATGGAGCAGAGGTCTGCCACTGCACTCCAGCCTGGGCGACAGAGTGAGACTCTGTCTCAAAAAAAAAAAGTCCAAGTTTTCAAAACCAAATGCCTCATTTTCCTTCTGCTTTCAGTTCCATTCCCAAATTGGCACCTCTTCTTGAATTTATTGTTTCTGCAAATAATCACCTACAGGCACATAGTCTTCTCATTCCCTATATTCAAAAAGCTGCTCATCTAGTGGATTCCATTGTCACAGACTCTCTTGATTAGGTTCACTATTTTCTATTCTTAAATACCATGTTTCTAGGTTAGATCCTAATTATCTCCCACCTAACGTTTGCAGAGTAGTATTCTGCTTAGAATTCTGTGTCATTTTATTCATTACCACCAAATTAATCTTCAGAAAGAGCAATTGTTATCTCCCACTCCCTGGCCTAAAACCTTAAATATCTTTCATTGATTATTGAACTAGTCACAAGTTCCTTACCTTGGCATTCAAAGCCCTTCAGATTCTGACCTTAATTCTATTTACCTCAGTTTCACGGTGTGCCCTGCCCTGATCTGGAATATCCATCCTTCCTTCCTTATTTCTTTCTTTCTTCCATCTTTACCTGACAAACTCCCAAGGTTTTTTTTTTTTTTTTTGAAATGAACCTTGCTCTGTTACTAGGCTGGAGTGTAATGGCACAATCTTGGCTCACTGCAACCTCCACCTCCTGGGTTCAAGTGATTTTTCCACTTCAGCCTCTTTCAAGTAGCTGGGATTAGAGGTGCTCACCCGGCTAATTTATATATATTTTTTAAATAGATATGGGGTTTCATCATGTTGGCCAGGATGGTCTTGATCTCTTGACCTCATGATCCCCACGCCTCGGCCTCCCAAAGTGCTGGGATTACAGGCCTGAGCCACTGGGCTGGCCCTAAATTCTTTACTTGTTTTTCAATTGGATTTTTTAGGTTTAACTAAATTTGTTTGTTTTACTTTTTTTCCCCTTCTGATGAAACATCTCAGGATTTTTTTTTTTTTTTTTGGACGGAGTTTCGCTCCTGTTACCCAGGCTGGAGTGCAATGGCACGATCTCGGCTCACCGCAACCTCCGCCTCCTGGGTTCAGGCAATTCTCCTGCCTCAGCCTCCTGAGTAGCTGGGATTACAGGCACGCGCCACCATGCCCAGCTAATTTTTTGTAGTTTTAGTAGAGACGGGGTTTCACCATGTTGACCAGGATGGTCTCGATCTCTTGACCTCGTGATCCAAAGTGCTGGGATTACAGGCTTGAGCCACCGTGCCCGGCAGGATTGTTTGTTTTTAAAGAGACAGGGCCCAGGGTCGGCTGTGGTGCCTCACTCCTGTAATCCCAGCACTTTGGGAGGCTAAGGAGGGTGGATCGCTTGAGTCCAGGAGTTCAAGAGCAACCTGGCCAAAATAGCAAGACCTCTTTTATAAAGTAAAATAAAATTTAATGTGACATTTACAGTATCATTACTATTAGACCAATGTTTGTTTTTTAATATAAATATGCCATGCTTATTGACTAACACTCTAGGAAAATGTGTCTATTTAATAATCTTGGGGATTTAGGGTACACGTGGCACACTGTGAAAGCCTTTCCTCTCCATACCCCACTACCTGTAAGCATTCTAAGGGCAGAGACTGCCTTACTATATATGTACCCCCCAACTAACATAGTACAATCCACATACAGACAGACGCCCAAGAAATGTTAAACCGTGATTCTGGATAGGTTAACTAGTGTTTACCGTATTTACTAAATGTTTACCGTATACCTACACTGTGCTCCCTGTTTCAAGGCGCTTAGTCCCCATGGGAGGACCCTGAACAAATATAAAGACTATACATAAGGGCTAAATTACGGAACATAAGCCGTTAGTGCTTTGCAAGACAACTCGGGTTGAGACTCAGTCTCTCTATTCCACAGGCCAAGTGACACATTGTAATACCGTTAGTACCATTTTATTTTATTTTTATTTTTTGAGACAGGGTCTTGCTCTGTTGCCCAGGATGGAGTGCAGTGGTGCGATCTTGGCTTACTGCAACCTCTGCCTCCCGGGTTCAAGCGGTTCTCCTGCCTCAGCCTCCCAAGTAGCTGGGATTACAGGGGCGGGCCACCACGCTCGGCTGATTTTTGTATTTTCAGTAGAGATGGGGTTTCGCCATGTTGGCCAGGATGGTCTCGAACTCGTGACCTTAGGTGATCCGCCCGCCTCGGCCTCCCTAAGTGCTGGGATTACAGAGGTGAGCCACCGCTCCTGCCCTGTTAGTACCATTTTAAAATCCAATCTGACTGCCAAATAATTTTCTGGAGATCGATCATTTTCTGCTAACACTGCGCAAAGCTTAATCCTCTCCACCTAAGAATAAAATCGGCTCTCCAGTTTGACGCCCTGCGAAGCCTCTTGAGCGCCAGACGGTGAAGTGAAGAAAACCGAAGCCCACCAAAGCTGCAAATACCACAGCCAGAAGCCCCGCCCCCAACATCCCCCACAGACTTCCAATTGGTCCTTGTGGCTCACTCTCTTCCCAGGTTGGTGTTCCAGCTTGCCGGTCGCCGCCATAGAGCCCACCTTTAGACAGTGACTATTGGTAGAGCGTTACGTCATTGTCCCAACTACCTCACTCTCATTGGCTCTCATGGGAAGGGGCGGTCGCAACGTCACGGGCAAGGGCCGCCATTTTGACTGAGCAACCCTAGTGACAGGAGCCGAAGCAGCAGCGCAGGTTGTCCCCGTTTCCCCTCCCCCTTCCCTTCTCCGGTTGCCTTCCCGGGCCCCCTACACTCCACAGTCCCGGTCCCGCCATGTCCCAGAAACAAGAAGAAGAGAACCCTGCGGAGGAGACCGGCGAGGAGAAGCAGGTGAAATGGAGGGGGTGCGGGCGGGCGAGCTGGGGAGACCGTGCTGGGGCGGGAGATGGTCTCCCATTAGTGCGGATTGGTCGCCATAGTCTCAGGCTCTGCAGGGGTTGGTCACTTCTTGCGTCACGCAGGGTGAGGTTCAACACGACCTGCTGCTTTGGCGCTGGTTAGTTGGGTCGTTTGTCACTCAGTACTGTACTCTTCCTCATTGGCCAATAGTCCTACTGCTCAAACCTTGGACGCTGTGCTGTAATTGGCCGAGCTTGGACGCGGGGCGGGTGTTTGGAAAGACGGTGAATGGAAAGGGGGCTGGCTGGTGGTCCTGAATGTGATGTGTGTTTACCGGTTAGTAGAGGTAAATGGCCCAGTAACTGGGCTGGGGCCAGTTACTCAATCCGCAAAGATTCGGGTCGAGGTAAAGACGTTTACAAATGACCAATATTGGGGGAGGGGAGAAGTGTAATTATTATAGTAGCTAGTTTAAGGTGGCAACTTTCTCAAGAGACCTATTTTAGTAGCTTGGGATGGTCTATTGCTCACCTTCCATGAGGACCGAACAAGATTGAAGAGGACTAGGGTTCCAAACAGAATCATGGAGGTTAAACTTGGAAAAAGACGCCGACAGAGTCGTGAGAAAGACACCACTCTCTTCCCCTAGACTTCCAAGGCAGAGATTTAGTCCACCCGCGATTCTGTGATGAACATACGCCAAATAAACCCCTTACGGGGGTTTGTATTTGACATCTAAAATTTAGTACTAGGTTCAGGCACTCATGAAATACACTTGGAGTTACATCTGTGCGTGAATTTCAAGAGAAAGGAATATAATTCCACTAAAAAGAGCCATACGTTGACTTCGGATCTTTTCAAAGTCACTAAAGGGCAGTAGGGACCACAAGAAACAAGAAGAGATTTACTGCAATAGTGAGAGCGTCTGCCGCACCAGGGTAGGTATTGATTTTTTTGGTGAAAGCTGGTGGGTAAATACTAGTGAGCCTACTGTATCTTTATTTTCCTGAGGTTAAAAAACAGTATCATCTTCCTCTTTATCAGCTTCCTATCATAATATTTGTGGAAATGTTGAAGCAAGGCTGTGCCATTACTCTCAGGTGGAGATCTTTGGAGAAGGCCACATAGCTAGCCTCCTCCACAGGGAGACCTAACAGGTGGCTTAGACCCTGAATGAGGAAGGAATTGCTTTGTTGGGTAGGAGTTTTTAAAAAGAAAAAAAAAAATAAGGAGGGAACATTTAGCAAACTTTTTTTGTTATTGTAAAGACAGGGTTTCAACATATTGCCCAGGCTGGTCTTGAACTCCTGGGCTTAAGTGATGCACCCCATTCCCCCCCGCCACCTCCGGCCTTCCAAAGTGCTGGGATTACAGACATGAGCCACCACACCCAGCCCCAAACATTTTTTTTCAATTTCCCATGTGACATGTAGGATAGCTTAGGGAACCCTCCTACTCATCTTGTATCACCAAAAGCCCTGCCTGCTAGCTCTTTTTTCTCATTTTGTCTTAGTATTTGTGCTGAGTAATATGACCCACTTTGTGATTAAAGTATTGTGTTTAGTGTTACCTTTAGCCCAATATGTGCGGGTCCCTGGGTGGTTCCTTGGGTGTAGTGTGAGAAGCAGCTTGTCTTTCTCACAATAGTTACCTTGAGCTTTGGGGATTTTTAACAAAGGTCTAGCTTTTAACTGCAGAGTAGGATAGCATATTTACAAGTGGGTGGATTTCCAGGAGAAGTTGATAGTGTAATTGTTATCAGATGTGAGAAGCAGTTGTTTCTCAGTCTTTAACTTTATTTGGCTCATTTGTTTTCTCCAGGACACGCAGGAGAAAGAAGGCATTCTCCCTGAGAGAGCTGAAGAGGCAAAGCTAAAGGCCAAATACCCAAGCCTAGGACAAAAGCCTGGAGGCTCCGATTTCCTCATGAAGAGACTCCAGAAAGGGGTACGGGGCATAATCTCTTACCATCTTTCTTTAGAGCCAGAGGGGGTTCTTGGAATGAAGTCTAAAGAGGGTTCCACTGGATCCTTTTCTGGAGGTTTTGTTGTTGAACAGAAGTAGAGAGGAATTCGAAACTTGAAGTCAGATTAATGTAAATCCCTGATATGGTACCAATTCTCTCCTGATTTTCCATGTTGAAAATTAAGGCTTAAATTGGAGCATTTGGGTACATGGCGGAATGAGGAAAAGATGTTAGAAACTGCAATGCAGACTGCCCCCAGGCATTTGCCTGTTGGAATGGTGGAGGTTTTAGGAGGCACTTTTTAAGGATTAGAGATAATTTTGGGATGCATCATTTGAGAAGAAGATCAAACCATCTCTCTTACAGAAATAAATCCTCAACTTGAAATGAATCAGTTTCTTCATACCCTTGAAGTAAGCACCAGCCACTAATTATACTCCTGCAACAAACTTATTTTTCCTGTTCAGAGTGGTCCTCCTCACCAAGAGCCATGTAGCTCCTGATCAGATTTTTAGTTCCCAAAGGTACCTAAAGCTGACTGAAAGATTGTATTATCTATTAAAAAAAAAAAAAAAAAAAAAAAGGCTGGGCGCGGTGGCTCAAGCCTGTAATCCCAGCACTTTGGGAGGCCGAGGCGGGTGGATCACGAGGTCAAGAGATCGAGACCATCCTGGTCAACATGGTGAAACCCCATCTCTACTAAAAATACAAAAAATTAGCTGGGCATGGTGGTGCATGCCTGTAATCCCAACTACTCAGGAGGCTGAGGCAGGAGAATTGCCTGAACCCAGGAGGCAGAGGTTGCAGTGAGCCGAGATCGCGCCATTGCACTCCAGCCTGGGTAACAAGAGTGAAACTCTGTCTCAAAAAAAAAAAAAAAATTTTCCGTTACTCTCCAATGACTGAAGGATTATAAATCATCACATTGGAGATCACATTGGAGTGTTCTCCTCTGTGTGTATGAAATGGAGGGCGAAACATCCCTGTGGAGGATCCCAGTTATTGAGTCTAGTCACAGATGATAATGTGATGCAGATTTGCATTTACCTTGCTGGAGGCAAGGCAGGCGTAGGCAGGCTGTCACAGTCATGGAACATGTGTGGGAGCTGTGAGAGTCAGAAGGAAAGTACATTATCCTCACCAACAGGCCCAGTTTCTATTCCTGGTCTGAGAGAATAATCATTTTGAGGTTTGTGGTTGATCTGGTTGCTAGCATATTGATCCTTGTCTATATCTTACTCATTTATATTTCCCCAGTACCAAGCTATTGCCTTGTACCCAGTAAGGTCCTTAGTAACCCTTTATGACTAAAGTAAGTTATTATGGTTGAACCGTCCTATACTGAGTGGGGTCCAAAGGATGGTAGGGGCTATCCCTTGACTCCAAAACTATATACTCCACCTGGGAAACTGCTTACATGCCTGAAAAAGTCAGAACACATTTGGGGAGGAGACATAAGTACATGTAATTAATGTTAAGCTGTATATGCATGATGTTAATCAAGCCAGACTTCTTGAAAGATCTGCGTGTGCATGAGGGTTTGTAATGGATGTGAGATGTGAGTTTTTGTTTTTGAGGAAGGCTAGAGTGCCTCACTCACCTAAACCTCCCTCTTATCTCTTAGCAAAAGTACTTTGACTCAGGAGACTACAACATGGCCAAAGCCAAGATGAAGAATAAGCAGCTGCCAAGTGCAGGACCAGACAAGAACCTGGTGACTGGTGACCACATCCCCACCCCACAGGATCTGCCCCAGAGAAAGTCCTCGCTCGTCACCAGCAAGCTTGCGGGGTAACCTGAGCCCCCCTCTCTTCCCCTTCCTCAACCACTGGACTTTTATATATTATAGGCAGGGATGAAATGGTCACCTAGTCAGATCTCAGCTTGCTAGCCAGAAATGACTGTGATTCTGCTGGGGGCTGCTGAGAAGGTAATGTAGGTTGAAGAGGGGCTCTGAGTTCATTACTTTGGTTAAATCGAGACTTCCACACCCACCCTGTAGTCCAGGTTGGGCCCAGATATAGGAAAGACTAGAATTGGAAATGCTGCAGATGCTTTTTTTGTGTGAGAAACTGGAGAGATGTGATTTCTCTTTTTTGGAGAGAATGTCCCAAAATTGATTAGGCTGAGCCTTGGGAATAATTTGGCAGGCTTAACATCCCAAGGCTAACCTAACATAGTTGGGAAAGGTAGATTGAGTGAGATGTGTTTTCTGTGCTTCTAAGTGTTCTGTCCCTTGGGCTGCTATTGCTTCGTGTTTCCATTATGGCAGGTTTAGAAAATCCTTAAAAAGAAAAATTGATTTGCTTGCCAAAAACTACAGTGCACCCTTAGGCTTCATTACTTAGTATCTCTTACAGTTTGCTCTGGCTCTCAAATAATGTAAAGATTGATGAATATTATTCACAGAAAATGGGCACCTTCTCTCTCTTTTCCAGCATGTTGCCTTTGAAAGTATCATGGGATAGTGGAAAGAGCACTGGTTTAGGAGTCAAGATATCTGGGTTCTGGCTCTACTCGGTCTTGGCAGAGCTAATGTATAACCTTGGTTAAGTCATTTAGCCTCTCGATTTCTATTTCCTCATCTGTAAAATAGAGTTAAATATATGTCAGATTGATTCTGATTCTGAAGTCATAAATGCCAGCAGAAAAACTCTGTACTATTCATTGTAAAACTAAAAGTAAGGAAGGCTCGTGGGTGGTGAGCCTCTGCTCTATGATACTGGGAAAGTACGATAGAGGGGAACCATTTGAAGACTACATGAGGAGAGAGTTGAAGTTTGGGGATTATAAATTCAGTCAAGAGAACCTTATAGATATCATAGTCTTGAGGGTCAAAAAAAAATTAAGAAGTTAGCCATGGAAGCTTCTTGCCTCTGACCCAGCCCACTTTCCCAGCCTACGTCTGGGCCTTAGCTGCTAAAAAAGCTTCTCTGGCAGCAGAGCTGCAGGCCTGAGGAAACATGCTCAGTCATGCACATATGTTGACCCATGTTTCAGATCCAATCTGAAGCCAGGTGTATTGTTAGGGAATGAGGAAGAAGGATAAACTGAGCTAGTCCCTGGGGCTTAGTGCTACTGCAGGGCTGGAGGAGCAGGTTCTTAGAAGATGATTCACCTTGGAGGAAGCTGGGGAAAGTGGTTAGGGTGGGAGAGGAGGAAGACTGAGAAATCTCTGCATTCCCAGAACTCAGCAACCCAGCTCTTGTGTGATGAGAAAAGGTAACCATGCAATTCATGAACAGGTGGAGGAAAGGGGTTGTAGGTGACCAGCATCTTCTATCTAGTTATCACCAGCTTGGCTAGAATCTTATTGAATACAACTTGCTGGTTATGGCAGAGAAGGCCAGGGTGAGAACTAATGTTCAAGAGAGCAAGATTCTGTAATCCTCTTGCCCTCTCACATCACAGATTCTGATATGCCAAACACTTGGCCCAGTGAGAATGACTGATAGACTTGCGGATGTGCATGCGGGGGAGGGGAGGTGTGTATATACTTTTCTTGTGACTGGCATTCAGTACTCAGGCTGTCATTCAGATTGGATAGGAAAAAGTTGGTGAGAAAGGAATGGAGAGAGCAGGATCCCTGGACTCCCTGGTTCCCAGACTCCTTGACTGTCACTTGTAATTGTATATAATTTTTGTGTTTCTTGCTCCATTTCCTCATGCTGTCATCCTTAATCCAAAGTCCATGTGGGAAGGGGAAAATGCCGAACATCATTGTATAATTTCTTCAACTGTCCCAGCCATGCTGTACATAGAAATGTCATGTTATTATATATATAAATATATATATAATTTTGTACGTTTTCTTCATCTCCGATCTTCTCGAATTCTGTACTTTCTTCTTTTCTGTCTGAGCTGCCTTCTCTATCATTCAGCTTGAGTCCTCAAGACTACTGGTCACAGTGAGTCTGATTTTTTAGGAAGGAATAGAAGGAGCAGGGAAAACAGAAAAAAATGTTGGTTTCAGTCTGTCTCTACCTGGTCATCTTCAAGCCTAAGAAGGAAAACAAACAAGCTACATTCTGTGTCTGCCACCAGTTTCCACAGCATGAAGTACGTAGCTTCCTTAGCAAGCAAGGGTCATTCCAAAATCCACATGCAAATTGCTTTGATTAAACCCGGACTATTAAATCCACTCAAAACAGCATGTATGTGGTCTGGTTCTGGCCTTCACATAGTCACCACCTCATCACTTTGCTACCTCAGTCTTTGCAAGTAGCTGTGGCCATGCCTCTGAAACTGAGTCTGCTGTGAGCAAGGCAGCTTAGCGCCTGGAAACCTCCAGTGATTTTGATCTTATCTAAAGAATTGTTTTTCTGTGTTTGTTTTCCATGGGAATCCCAGAAAGGCACGGAACACTGTTTTGTGGATAGGAAAAGACCGAAAATTCCCTTTTTTGATTTTTTTGCAACTCTGTTATGGATAGGATGGAGACATATGCCAGGTAGCCTAAGGATTGTTAAATGTGGACAAATCACGGGGTAAAGACTGGGATGGAGTTCAGGGTTTTTTTCCCCTATTACTTGACAGTGTTTTTTTTTTTCTTCTGTGTTCGTCCACAGTGGCCAAGTTGAATGATGCTGCCCGGGGCTCCGCCAGATCCTGAGATGCTGCCCACCCCCCACCCCGGGTCCTGTGCTGGCTCCTGCCCCTTCCTGCTTTTGCAGCTAGGGATCAGGAGGTGGCTCGGGTACGGGCTGGAGAGGCAGAAGCCCCTGCCCGTTGGTGTCCCAGCACATGGAGCCCCTTGGGCCGAGCACCAAGACCTTGAACCTTTTTTATTTTACCTTTTTTCCGAATAACAGTTGGGAGAAATCTCAGTGAAATCCTGGGGGTGGGGGTAGGGTTGAGAGGGTGGGGTGGGAGATAACGGAGGAATGTGAATTAGGGCTTGGAGCTGGTAAAAACATTCCTGACTATCCTTCTTCACTACGGGGCTGGTGTGGGGTAGGTGTGAGGGGAAGGAAGTGGAGTAGACTGAAGATAAGGGGTTCTAGTCGAGCTCTGTGGATAAATGCCTTGTTTCCGTGTGGCTGGAGACCTGCTGTCAGATAAAAGAAACTCCATCCACACAGACAGATGCAAACAGCTCCTCTGGTTCTGCAGAGCTACTTGAGAACTCAACATTAATCATTTTTAAAAAGTACTGTCCTTGAAATAGATTTCCTGTGGGCAGTGAGTGTGGGAGAGAGGAGCTGTGAGCATGGGGAATCCCACAGAGCCCAAAGGACTTTTTCAGTATTTGAAATAAAAAACAACAAAAACCCATGAAAAAACCCAACCCAGAAATACTCTGAAGCAGTTGGTGTGTTTTATTGGGGTTTGGGAGGGGAAGAAAACATTGTAGAAAACTGAAGACATTGTTCAGGGGAGAAGCTGATGGGGGCCCAGAGTTTCCAAGGGACACGGGGTCCTTTAATGTGAGATGTGGCTGAGCTCCCCAATTCCATCACTTAGGGAGAGGGAGCAGGAATGTTGGCATAAACCTACCTTGTCCATCCCTTTGTTTCTCTAGCTAATGTGGATGATGCATCAGCCTCAGTTTGTGGCTCACAAGAAGAGGGATTTAAGGTATTTGATCTAAATGGTTTCTTGACACCTAAGCCCAGTGCAGACTTAGCAAAAAAAAAAAAAAAAAAAAAAAGAGGCCCGTTCTCCCTTTTCCGTTTGTCTTCCATTCCTTTGCAGGTTCCCATGTTTGTGAGGGAAAAATGTGACAAGCCAAAAGAAATGAATGTATTATTTCTTTGTAGTAAACCAGAAGAAACTCAAGTCTTTCTGCTAGTGGCCAGCAGGAGGCACAGTGACTTCTTTCCTCTTGATGTCCAAACTGCAGTGCTGGAAACCTGCTACTGAAAGGCGTTAAAAGCCGCCTGTGAATGTTACGTAAAAAAGAAAGGGTGCCAAAGGAGAAACAAACTATGGCCAGGCGTGGTGGCTTATGCTGGTAATTCCAGTGCTTTGGGAGACCTAGATAGGTGGATCACTTGAGGTCAGGAGTTTGAGACCAGCTTGGCCAACATGGTGAAACCCTGTCTCTACCAAAAATACAAAAATTAACCAGGCATTGTGGCACACACATCCCAGCTACTTGGTAAGCTGAAGCAAGAGAATTGCTTGAACCCAGGAGGTGAAGGTTGCAGTGAGCTGAGATCATGCCACTGCACTCCAGCCTGGACAACCAGAGCGAGACTCCATCTCAAAAGAAAAAATAAACTGAGTGGGGTGGCTCACGCCTATAATCTCAACACTTTGGGAGGCTGAGGCGGGTGGATCACCTGAGGTCAGGAGTTCAAGACCAGCCTGGCCAGCATGGTGAAACCCCATCTCTACTAAAAATACAAAAAAATTAGCCAGGCATGGTGGCGCGTGCCTCTAATCCCAGCTACTCCGGAGGCTGAGGCAGAAAAATTGCTTGAACCTGGGAGGCAGAGGTTGCAGTGAGCAGAGATCATGCCACTGCATTCTAGTCTGGGTGATGGAGCAAGACTGTCTAAAAAAATAAGTAAATAAAACAAGTATAACCTCAAACTAGAGACAAGTTAATGGTGTTAATTGTGGTGGGATTAATGAGCTATCCCATGACTTCCTCCTGAGTGTGTTTGCCAGCTGGGGAATGAGGTCAGACAAATGTGGGATCATTCAATTTCTTTCTTCGTTTTTTTTTTTTTTGTTTTTTGTTTTTTTTTTTTTAAGAGTCAGGGTCTTACTCTGTCGCCCAGAATGGAGTGCAGGGTGCAAACACCACTCACTGTAGCTTCAACCTCCTGGGTTCAAGTAATCTTCCCATATCTGGCTCCCAAGTAGCTGGGACTACAAGCACGCGGCACCACACTGATTATTTTTTTTAGAGGTGAGGATTCACCATGTTGCCCAGGTGAGTCTCAGAACTCAGGCTTGAGCACTCCTCCCACCTCAGCTTCCCAAAATGCTGGGACTACAGAATATATTTTCTTTCTTTTATAGACAGGATCTCGTTTTGTTGCATAGGCTGCTCCTGCACCCTGGCCTCCAGCAGTCCCTCCACCTCAGCCTCCCAAAGTGCAGGGATTACAGGTGTGAGCCACTACACATAGCAGTTGGTGCATTTTCATTTTAATACAAGTGAGGAAGTTAAGGGAGTTACTTCTAAGCTGGAAAAGTTAGCTGAAGAGCTTGAGTTTGTGTGTGTGTGTGTGTGTGTGTGTGTGTGTGTGTGTGTGTGTGTGTTTTGAGATGGAGTCTTGCTCTGTCGCCCGGGTTGCTGGAGTGCAGTGGCATGATCTTGGCTCATTACAGCCTCTGCCTCCCAGGTTCTAGCTATTCTCCTGCCTCAGCCTCCCGGATAGCTGGGATTACAAGCGCACGCCACCATGCCTGGCTAATTTTTTTGTATTTTCAGTAGAGACAGGGTTTCTCCATGTTAGCCAGGCTGGTCTTGAACTCCTGACCTCAGGTGATCCACCCGCCTCAGCCTCCCAAAGTGCTGGGATTACAGGCATGAGCCCCCGTGCCCGGCCAAGCTTTTGTATTATTTCTTCTCTATTCCTGGCTTTCCTGGTCTCCAATTATAAGTTGTGGCCTTAAGAAGCCTGGGGTGCCAAAAAATGTTTGGGGCGATCTGTATTTCATGTTACTCCTTAGCCTTTTTTTTTTTTCCTTTTAGTTCTTCACTACAGCACACTTGGCAGGATGTGGCCGTTCCTTCTTCACTCCCATGCTATAGGGCTAGACAACCAAAGCAAACTGATTCTGCAATGCTTCTAACAGTTATTCCTGCTCATTATTTTAGCTAGATACATTCTGAAGTCTTTATCCCAAAGGTTCTTCCACTCCTTCAACATGATTGTGCTGACAAGCCTCTCAGCTGAGCCATCGAATATGCAGGGTGGCAGGGATGAAGTCACCATTACTGTCCGACAGCTTTTATTTTAAGCTGCTGTGGGCTGGGCGTATAAAAGACAGGCAAAAGAAAAATAACCTGGAGAGAGTTGCCATTGAGGTTATATCTACAGTGAGCCAACACCACCCACACAAGCAGCCCTTGCCTGTATAATGCCCTCTACTGTGTCTTGAGGAAAATTAAAAAGAAAGGAGGCCGGGCGCGGTGGCTCAAGCCTGTAATCCCAGCACTTTGGGAGGCCGAGGCGGGTGGATCACGAGGTCAAGAGATCGAGACCATCCTGGTCAA